AAATCTTTAAAACAGTATCTTCTCCAAGCATAGGGTAACTTGTTACTTCCCACTTTGTTACTGCACATCTGATTTTGTATTTTAGTTTGTTCACAGATTCACAGATTTGAAATAATTTTCTTTGGATTCCATGATATGAACAGATTAAATCTTCTTGATTTTTTCCTTTCTTTGAATGTGGGGAAACACTGTTTCTAAATGCTTCTTTCATGTTCCCTTATGTATTTCGATTTTGCCATAGGTTTTACCATTATTATTTTTATTATTTGAGTCTGTAATATCTTTAATCTTGACTGAGCCCAAACTGTCCTACGGACCTTCTCTCTCTCTATCTTTTTATTTATTTATTTTTTATTTTATTTTATTTTAACTGTTTTGTTTGGTGTTCCCTTCAGAGGGAATTCAGTCTGACTTGGGGTAGTTCTTCCTTTGTTCTTGTAGTGTGATCTGGCTTAGGTTTGTTTATAAATTTATCCATATCTCTTTTTTTTTTTTTTTTTCTTTTTCTGAGCTGGTTTTTCAGGCTGTCTCTCGGCACTTCCCTACAAGTTTTCTTTTGTTTCAGTGCAAATTCCAGGCAGCTTGAATGATCTCAAATACCTTCAGCTCTTAAATTCTGTTGACCGAACTTGCTAGATCCCTTAATTCTCAGAAATAGCCTCAATTAGCAATTTGGGGTTTTGTAAATAGAATCTCGTTTCAAGTGGGGGACCAGCTTCATTCTCTGTTCCATATATATACTTATCTTTAGTTCCTAGTATTTTTTCTTTCCTGTCTCTGCTTCTTTTCTCTTGGAGCCCTTCTTTTCTTTATTATGACTTTCAAATACAGTTGTCTTAATGGTTTGAGCAGTTTTGTGGTACTATATTTTTTGACCCTTGGTTACATCTCTTTTAGGAGTCAGATGTAGGAATAGAGAGGTGTCCCCTTATTTTATAGTTGAAGTATAAGAAAAAGCCATTGTCATCATCTAATGTTTAAAGAGAAAAGATCGAGGTGATTTTTTTTTCCCCTGCTGTAGAGAGCAGCAAGGAAAATCTATTTTGTACTGGCTGCTAAGGGACGGTCCAAGCATTGGTCCAAATGCCCCATCCAAAAATGCCCCTTAAAGGTGGAATTTACTTGCTTTCCCATTACTTGATCTGTTGTAGGTATTCTGATAGGCAACAGAGCATAATCTGTCCACTAAGAAGGAAAATTGTTGCTAGTGGATTTTTAATGTTTCCATTTCAGACTCGGGAGCAGGAAGAGCTTGAGGAAGCTTTGGAGGTGGAACGGCAGGAAAACCAACAGAGGCGACTGCTCATACAGAAGGAAGAGCATCTACAGCAGATGATGAAAAGGAAGAATAAACAGGCACTCTTGGATGAACTGGTGAGTTCCAACACCAGAGGCTTTGATTTGAGTGTTGCATAGCAGAGCAAACAGCAAATATATTCAGCACTTCCAACCTTGAATTGTGGAATTATTCCATCTGCTCACTCCTGTTCTTCTGTTTTGGACTTGTTACGTGTTACAGTTCTCTCATTTATCATTCTTTCTGTTGCTGAAAACAACTCTGAATGGTTTGGGCAAGCCAAGGACTGGAGGGAGCCTGTTTATGGGGCCCAAAGACTGGTTCATAGGCTGCTCCAAGTCAGTGTCCAGAATGCCCAGTGCAGCCAGAGATCAATTCTAGGGAGCTTTTCTCAGTCCTTATTCAGAGTGTAGATGTAAGGAGCTGATATTTCATTTTTCTGTAGGCTGAAAGGTTCCTTTTAAATCTCTTGAGCCTGTAGCTTTGCATCCAGCAATTTCTTCTCACATAAAAGGTAAAACAACAAAATGTTTACACCCCACACAGTAGGGAAACTCCACTGCAAATTCAAACTGAATGGCTCTGAAGAAGGATTTGGACCTGGTTTCTGATGTCCTAAACTGTATTCAATCTTGCTTTAAAATACACTTTAGTAGAGAACAATATGGTTTACTTACACCATAGTTTTACTGGAGACCTACTTCACCAGAAAATAATGGCTATAAATAATCCTTAAAGCGTAACCAAAATTAAGTACTTTTAATGTGATTGCATGTGTATTGCTATTAAAACATTCTCAGTATTCTAAAAATAACAGAAAGGTGATTTTAAAGGTAGAGGAAGGAAGCTGGGAAACTTTAGGTTACCTCTGTTTATAAAAGGGCACTGTCAACTTAAATTTGGACCCAAACTTGTTTTGTAATACTAAAGGTTTATGAAACCAGCATTGAAGTGTTTGTACAATGACTTGTAAGGTCTCTGGAAAGCCAGTGGTTGTTAAACAAATAAACATTTGCTTTGGTCTCTGAAATCCCCCTAATGCTGTGTTGCAAATCTGAAAATGAAGCAGAGTGCAGATGCA